TGCTCAGTGTTTACAAAATATATATAACCTCTACCTTCTGCAGACAGATAACATTTGTACTACTATAACTTACTATAAAATGGCATTACACTTATGAAACAATTATTTAATTTCATTTTACTACAACCACAAAATGATAGACTTTTATATACACAATATGGTAGATTTTGAAGTAAATTTGCTGCACTTTTTCAAGAAGTAAATTACTTCAAGTAATTCAGTTACTCTACTGAATTAGCACACAAATCCGGGCTAATAAACACCAGGTAGTTTATATTCACAAGGAATGATTATTCTAACAGCAATCTCTGAAAGTACACAGATAACAATAAACTCTATTTATAAGGTTTCTAAGTTAAAAGTTTAGAAGAATTGAGGTGTTTTCCCTAGCAAATATAATTAACAAACCTGCAAGTTTTAAAATTTTATTTTCTCTACTAGGGGATGTTCTTTTAATAATTTTCTAGGTTAATAAATTTGTTACTATCAATATTAAGTATTATTATTAATATTACACAAGTACATATATCTCTGATTGTGCACAAAGAATAACTGTTTAAATTCACTCATTTGTTAAAAGTCTGATGTTGCCACAGGCAGTATTATCTCTGACCCTAAAGTCTAGTATAAAAACCCAAAATATAATTTTTCTTTATTCTCCTGCCCCACCCTAAGGAGTCAAAAGTATTTCAAAGAAGTTTAATTTCCTCCTCTTTAAAATTTTTTTTTTTTTTTTGAAATTTTCTTGTCAGGAATGGAAAATTCCAGGGCAGTCATGGTAGTAAAACTGCATATGTACCATTGAACATTGCCCAGCTAACTCCATACTGAAATTTGGCAGGGACCCATATGTATTAAAAGTGGAGAGTCCCCAACTTACTTGAAAATTTACCTACTTAAATTATCCCTCCAACCTATTGCAATTTGATTTATAATCCGCTGTTTCAACAGAATAAATGAACCCATTAAAAACAAACATACTGTAAATATTTATATCGGGAATAAAATTTCTCTGGGGAGGATGCAATTTATGGAAGCAGAAACATTGGAAGGAAGTAACAAATTGAGGTCCTGGTTTTCTAATGAAGGATTGGAAATTGAGTTCTGCTTAAAGAAGCAGGGGAGGGGGGAAGGATGTGATTATTTTTCACTCGTTAGCATTTAAGTCAGTAGCAGGATTATTCACAAGTTTTGAATAGGTTTAATAAAAATAGATTTTGTAAAAATGTTGCTAGTAAAATGTTAAGTTTAATTTTTTTTAAGCCACATATGCAAATGACTGATAGAAAGGCAGATTATCTGTGTGTGATACACTGGGTTTAACTATAATAAGAAAAAATGTTTGTCTGTAACTTCAAGACTGGATTCTGATTAGGAGGGTTGCTCATGGATTCCAGAAAAGCAAAACAGATGCAGTCCTGCCCAGAACCCGGTTCTTGGGACAGATGGACTTTTATTACACACGATGGTCTGTTTGACAAGCTTGTAAATAAGATATAATCTTGTCTATGATTACTATTTTCCCTGACATAAAGATTTGAAAGGCACAGCATGCCGTTTTCTCTATCAATATGGTACGCACGCTACTAATCTCCAAGATATTTCACATTTTATGTAACAATAAAATGGAGATCCTCAAATAAACATTGTTTTTCCTCTAAGTCTGCATACAGCATTTCTATTACATGAAGAGCAAAGTGGAAAAATATGTTCAGGGTTTCACTTTGATTCCCACAGCTTCTCTAGTGGGAGGCTACATGCCTATTTGGAATTATTATCCAAAGTGTAATTCCTCTCAAATGAATTAACAAATGGTATACTACCATTTTTCTTGCAATCATGTATTTAAAGGACACAGCAAGCCACCGTTGCTCCTGTGGAAAATGAAATTAGTCCCTCGGAGAGGATACAGCCAGTGCCGTGTTAGCCTAACCTTCAGCTGTTAATGATTTGTGCAAGGATTCCCCTTGATGCTGAGGCTTCAACTGAAATATTGTTTTAAGAGTTTCCGTTAAATCCTCTTTCTCCTCTTTTGCCGAGGGATGGATCCGAGTGGGTTCTGAAGACCAGCTTTCCTCTCTGCTTACATCTGTGTGATTTTAATATCAACAAAATAAACAAAAATATCTTAAAATTTTATTTTCAGATCATTTGCTTTGCCGAGATCCTTTAGACAAAAGACTACGATAGGTAAAAATCCACTGTAAAAATTATAAAACTGTATACATTTCATAATTTAGAATTGCTGTTCACACCTACCAGAAAAAGAAGCCATTTGCTGACCTCATTCAAAATACAACTATAGAAAAATATGCTCCAGATTCAAGTTCACAACCTTTTACCTTTCTTTCAAAGGGCATCAGAGCTTGTGTTAGCTTGAGGAGTGTAATAGATAGTAGAATGTGAAGGAAAAGAATTACACCTCTCTCTCTCTCATCCTATCTCTTCTCCTCATCTTCCTTATATTTTAGGGATTTGATTTTTAGCAAAAATATATTTCTGGTTCTTACATATCCTGTTAAAACTCTGTACTATCTTAAAAGCACACTGCTGAACAGAATTATAGTACTACTGAGGATGCAATTCATATTTCCAGTAGTTGCAATGTTATGATAAGAGAAAAAATCAAATTTCACTCTGACCAAAGTCAGTCTTGAAAAAGTAAAAGAAATGTTAAAGCATTCATTCAAATTGATGTCTCCTGGAGTGTTTAATAAATCCATTTCAACTCAACAGAATATGTGATCCATAATTGCACCTGCAAGGTATTTCTCAGTTACCAATTTATTTTCAAATTTCTAAAATTAAACACTTAACTTTCTCAGAATAAACTACAATAACCAAATGTACGTATCCTTTAAGTATGCTGGATTATTTTCTTGTTCAATTCTATTCAAGGGAGAGATAAAATATTACCAGTATGTATAATTATAAATTCTTATTTAGGGTACTCTGGGGATTAACTGAAAATAACTTGAGATAGAGCCTCAGTTTGTGAAACAATGTGCAACCATGAAAGAAATTTGATTTTTAGGTTTACTTCCTCTCTAGACAATTTTATGCAATTGTATGAAATGATCTCACCTTTTCTCATACATCTTTAAGTTTTCATTTTATTTTATTTTTTAAAATCCACCTTGGTTTCCCACTGGGCGGTTCATGGAAACATTCCTAAGTAATGAACACTGGTCAGAAGTAAAGCTCTTAAAACAGTAAAAGCAGCAATGGGTGGGAAGTAGGAATGAGAACATTCATCAACAACACAAAGCTAATGCTTCTAAGGCAATCTTCCCTCATCCTCTGCCTCTTGAGTAATCCTCATGGGTTTCTCCTCTACACACATTATAATTTTCTTTTTCTAAAAAGTAGTAGGTGTGGGGGTCCAGAATGAGTCACCCAAGTGTTTCCCGGTGGTATGTAGATTGTTTTGAGCTAAAGTCAGCTTGAGTTGCAAGCTCAAGAGAAACTTACTCCCTCGCCCCCTGTATACCTCCTAGAATTTGAATTAGATGTCTTGCCCATAACAAATTATCAGAAACTTTTTTTTTACCTACCTATAGAGCAGGATAAATTGCTATTTGTTAAGGTTCTGTTCTTCTTCTGATCTTTCAATGATACTTTGAAGCCTCTAAGGCACCCCACCTCATCCTTAGCACGGGATATCTTCAATCCTTATGTTTCCTTTATGTATCTGAACCTCTAGTGCACATGTGTCAAACACAAGGCCCGCGGGCCAAATCCATCCCGCCAGGCCTTGCAATGTGGCCCACACTGCGCTGTCATCACTGCACTCCGCTGCGTTTCCATCACAATGACAGTTTATGACTGTTCAGTAAACCATTCGGCCTGCGATTTAGGCTGGATTTTAGATTTTGGCCCCTTCTCTGATTGAGTTCGACACCCCTACTCTAGTGCATGTGGGTCTCTCTTTCACATGTGGGGTGTTACCATACATATGTATGTATTGAATTTGTTTTTTCCTCTTGCTAACCTGTCTCCTGTCTGCTTAATTACTAGGCCAGGCAGAAGAACCTAAGTAGAGGAAAGTTTGTTCCTCCCCTACATAGGTCATTTTACTGTTGTTTTGTCCCCTCATCATCCAATTTCATCATTAATATACACCGTGAGAATAATAGATGACTTTTTATATAAAAAAAAAGTTCAGGTTTCAAACATTATTCCAGGCAAATGAATTAATACTATGAAAGAAAGAACAAATCTTTCTCTCAAGTTGCATGCAAGTTAGCAGGAAGAGCTGGGAGCAAAACAGGTGAGATAATGCCATGAGACAATTCTGTGAGCAGAGTAAGTACAAGATTCCATGGGTCCATAAATGAAGTGGTGTCTAATGTAGGGTTGGAAGGCAAATATGATTTGCGGAAGAGCATGATCCTTCAGGTAAGTCTAGGAGTTCACCACTTTCTAAGCAGAGGGAAACACGTGTGACTTCTGGGCAATGGCAAGAAATAGAGTATAGAAGGATCAAACACTGCAAAAGGGCGAAAGCCAATAAAGGGTCCACAAGCAAAAATGGGCAGACCAAGATTTCCATAGATCAGGGAAGGGACTCACACATTATCCTCAGGCAAAATGGAACCTGTAAAGAGTTTCCACCAGATTCACATTATGAAAGTGTTTGGCTGCAAATGGGATAGGCCAATAGATGCCACTTAGAGACCACTGTAGTGATCCAGTTTTATGGGATTTTGACTGGGGAGTGTCTGCATATCATATTTCTATAGTAACTCAAATAAAACATATTCTATGGACACAAAATTAAAGGAGGCACCAATTAGCTCAGTAATCAAGGTAAATAATATTGTATTTAGAGCTGTCTTTCGTAATGAATGAAAAGAAATATCTATAATGGGCAAAATATCAACATTTTATATAATGACAGTAACTGAACTCTTTGGAGACATATGTGCAAATAAATTCATTTCCCATCATATTTGAGAATTTCAGTTGATTCCTTCAGTGTTGCTAACCAACTAATTCACCTTGGAAGCTGAGATAGAACACCAGCTGATATGGACGTTAGTGCATCATCCAAACGCCCTGGGGGCTTCCCTTTGCGGATCCAGCTGACAACTAGTTCCAGCAGCATCAAGGAAATGAAATATGGAGTTGCCTGGAAAGAAAATCGCAGAAAGGAGATGCTATTGTGCTCAGTCTGAAATTCTCTCACATTTCATCATTAGTCATTCCAGAAGTGGCAGTTCCAGAGTGACATTTCATAGAAAGAGAAGGTATGCATCTTTCCTAGAGGATGATTTTTCTCCTAAAAAATGAATTTGATTATTTCAGACATATATAAAACAGTTGCTCCATTCTATCAACTAATTTGGAAATAAAATATAAACAAATGCAACCTGATAATTGCACCAAGAAAATGAGAGTAGGAGGGATATGTTACAAATTACCGTATTTTTCGGACCATAAGACGCACTTTTTTTCCCCCAGAAGTGAGGGGAAAAAGTCCCTGCGTCTTATGGTCCAAATATAGCCTACACATATACTTTAAAAAAAAAGTTTTTTTACTTGCCCGGCTCTGTGTGGTCTCTGTGTGCTTGCCCTGCTCTAAAATGGTTCTAAATGCTGCTGTTTACTTTACAGGGTTGATTACATGTGTTTATGACTGTGATGTTGGGTTTTAATGCACATAAAATATTTTAGGACACTATTTGTTTCAGAATCTTTTTTTCTTCATTTCCCTTCTCTAAAAACTGGTGCGTCTTATGGTCCGGAGCGTGTTATGGTCCGAAAAATACGGTAGATCTAATTTTAAAATAAGTGCAAAAATCTCATCTATTGTACATATGACTAAGCTAGACTACTTTAAAAGGTATTCCTTAAAGATGTACACACGTCTAGATTTTCATATTAGTATTACAGGAATGACAAAAGTTGAAACTGTAAGAACAAAGAATATTCTTCTGAGTATTTCTAAGAATGAGGTCATTTTAAGTGTTTGAAATATCACTCAAGTTTTATTTGTTCAGCTTTATTTTTACTTTATATAATAGATGTTTTTAGGTGTCACTACCAATGACCAAATATTGGACTAGATTTGGTATTACAATATAAAAAAAAAAAGAATGATATTTTATGCATAACCCATGGACACAGATCATAGGGTGGTAAAGGTCTGGGGCAGCAGGCCAAAATAGTAGAGGTCAATGGGGGGGGAGGAAAGTGGGGAGGACATACATAATATTTTCAACAATAAATATTTTTTAAATATTGATTTTAAGGACATAAATATCACATTTTTTTCTTAAAAAAACAAAACCAAAAAACAGAAAGTATGAGTAATATCAAATCCTGAAAAAGAATGATGGGTTTCATTCATTTGGAAGCTGACTGTGAGTTTTAAATCTTCAAAAAATAAACTCCCAAGAACATATTCTCTGATGTCATTTTTTTCTCTTCTATTTCTGGTCTGAACCAGTAAGTGTTATAGGAACAACTCTGACAGGGTGGGGAACCTCAGTATTCAAGTTCTAATTCTGGATATTTCCATTTCCAATCATAGCCAGGAACCAAAAGTGAAAAGTGCCTCTAAACACTTCAGAGTTTCAAATAAAACTTGATTCAAGTTCAAAGTTAGGAAGTCAGAGTTGGACTCAGTCAGCTATGTATCCATTCTACAGAACTATACTCTACCAAATTAAAGAGGAAACAGTTTCTGGGAGGTAGCAGACAAGTTTACCCTTTGAAAACAAAATTGTCACAAAGTTTACTGATAACAGCTTCTATCAGCTAAATGTGTAATGTCCCTGTGTCCAGGAAAACTTTAAAAGCTTCTGTTGTATTCTGGAGTGACATACCATGGAAAGGAGTTTAATAGAAGATGGTTGTGGATATTATATAGAAATTCAGTTCAAATAGAAATTCTCCTTTTGCTCCATGTCTTTATGAAATGGAGTTAATTTTACTAGAATTTCATAATTTGAAAAGTGAAAGTAAACGAAACCTCAAGATGTGTTTGACTTCTTAAGAAAAAGAAGAGCAGCCTTTTTCTAGAGAGTCTCACCTGTTTTACATAATCAGGCACCTCTTCCAGGGTTTGGAATGACGTTTCATTGGGCTTCATCACGTAAAACATCATGCGGATTCCCTGGGAAAGGGAAACATCCTCTTGGGCTTCTGGGTTTTTCATCTCTGCCTTGCTCTGCTTCCCAGCTGGAGAATATTTGTGATTCGGTGGTTTAAGCCAGAGGCTGGACAAAGAGGACAAGACGTGCTTCACAGAACAAGCCCTTTGTCAGAGCACGGCTGGAAACAAAACTCCGCAGAGACGGAACACACAGCAGGTCCTGTGCAGAGACAGGAAAATACTGGGATCAAGAACCAGTGCAAAGTTCAGTGGGCCCGGTCCCAGGAACCCGGCTTGTGGGGGAGGAAGAGGGTGAGCCTGCCCAAACCAAAGATAAACAGTGGAGTTTGGCTCTAGGTGGAGAACTGATGGAAACAAGATAAACAAGCAAAAGAAAAGCACAGATACCTTCTTGAAAAGGGGAAGAAAAAAAAGGGTTAACAAGTGAAAGTTCACTCTGAAAAAGTGGGCAGAAACTGAAGACTCAAATCCCATGAAGAAAATTCTTTTTCTTTTCTCTCTCCCTTTTGCAATTCCCAAGGGGTTCAAGTTTGTAACCTCCCCTCACAGTCATTTTCTCAAAGGACAGGGTGCTCTAATCTCTTTTAACAAGACTAAGCTTGAAAGACAGTAAGCACTGAATATATCATATTGTTATCTTTCTGGATCTGGATCATGCTAATTTTGAAGTGTTGCAAACCAATTTAGAGGCATTTGGCTTGTTACATTGTTTAAAAGAATGTTGACTAGTCAGATCTCTATGGTTCAAACGTATGGGGCCTAGATGATTGAAAAAGCTCCCAGGATGGGGTGATGACACCTCATCTCTGCTTTCCAAGAGGAGCTTCAATCAGTTTCTTACAGGGAGACTAAAGGACATTTATTGCATCACTAGTGATGAGGGGAGCTTCAAGCTCCTAAGAGCCTCAAGCCTTCACTTAGAATGGCTGTACTCATTCTTTGGCTACCACCTGGTAGACAGCTCCTGGGAAGGTTTATGGACATTTCTTTAACTATTGTCAGCTGAAACCAAGGCCACAGGCAAAGCCACACCCTGGGAATATGCTTTGCCAAAAAGGCAAGAATGTTATCACCTTTGCCTTCATTTCAGTCCAAGTGTCCTGGAGTGTGACTTTGATATGTAAATCCAGTCAAGCACTAGGAATGCTTGGGCCTACTCAAGAATGCAAATAATCTCCTTTGATCCTAATTTTTGGTGAAACTTCCTGGTATTTAGGGATATAAAATAAACTTGCTATGTAGGCTCTGGGTCCCTGTCCCTCCATCAGAGAGAATGGTGGTCCCATCTGGCTCCTAGCTTTTTCCTTCAATCTTTGTGTATGGTCTCTTTCTTTCTTTTATTTCTCAATCTCCAGCTCCTCTACTCAGGAACCAGACCCACTCTTTTCCTGTGCTTTTTCCATGTTGGACTCTGAAAGAAACACCTACATCACCTAATCTTTTATTTTGAACATTTTGATAAAAAATTTATTAAGCTATTAATAAATTATTGTTTTAGGGGGAAAATAGAAACTATAGATAAGCAACAAATAAATTACTACTCAAAGACACAGTCAGTTGCACTATCTCATTTTTAGACACGAGCAGAGCAAGGACGGTGGGCCAGGTACAGAAACACCAGGGCAAAGAGCCCTGAATGCCTAGCAAGGGGCAAAAATGAGAAAATAAGAACCTCACCCCCAGGTAACCTTTCTTCCCCTAGCATTGACTGGTTAGTTTGGAGCCCTGATCTTTCAGATCACTGCTTAAGCATTTCAGACCCCACCTTTTCCTCCCTGAAGATAACATCTAGGCCTCAGTTGTATTTCAGCTCCAGGCCTCCAAAAAAACAGCAAAACCAAACAAGTGATACCTTAGTTGCCCCAGGACCAGCTATATTGACTAATGGCCCCCTGCCTGGTACCATCCAATCAGTGGAGACTAGGATGCTGAAAGAGAACACTGAGAAAGTTGATGAATATTCTATTAAGACCCTCCCCACAGACCTTCCCTAAGATTTCTATCTGCAAGAAAGAGATCAATACACTCAGGAAAAGGGCCCAGAGTGCGCTCACCTTGCAAGGAGCACACCCATGCCATTCCTTTCCCTTCCCCCACAGGGTAATATCCCCTAACTCTAGGTAATCCCAAAATACTTGCAACCAGGGGAGCAATGGGCAGCAGCAGCTCATCCTACACTAATCTGGTGAATCTCTCCAAAGCCCCCTTTTCTCTGACTTCTCAGTGAACCAAAGGAGCCCAGTCTAGGCTTTTTCCTGTTGCTGTTTCTATACCTTTCCTTGTTTTACTTTCCTAAATACATTTTTGCTGCAATACCCTTTGGCTCAGTGCTGTGTAGCCCTTTCCTTTGGATATCCCCATCTTCCATCCCCTTTTCCTTAAATAAATTAAATTTTTCTTTAATCATTGCCTGAGATGTCTATTTAGCCTACCCTCACACCACCTTTCACATGTGACTTATGTCTTGCTAAAAATTGTGCAATAAAAACCATTGGGCTTATGAAGAAAATGGGATAAGGATGCGATACCGAAAAAAAAAACTTTGTAATGACTCATGAGGAGAAAAAAAAAAAACAGAACCTAATAAAAATGGTAGCACATTTTTACACATGCATTGTTACATGAAGAAATGCAAAAATACTATAGTATGCTGCTTTGTCTTGAAAAGGACCTGAAGTAGACATTGGAAGAGTTACAGATTGTGAGTTAATGTGGAGTATTGCAGGGAGGCTTACCTGAGGTCAGACAGAAAGTTGAAAAAATACATACCATGGCTCATTACTCATAGCTGAATTGACACTGGTAGACATTTAAGGCATGTGCACGTGGGTGCATTTTGTGTACTCCTAAACCTTTCAGTTCAGTTGGGTGCAACCTTTGACATTCACCTGGTGCCTTTCTGACATAATCACAAATAAGTGGAACTGGCAGGCTCAAGTTATTCCCTAAAATATTGATCTAGTTTGAAATAAACTTTCACTTTCAAAATGCTGCAGAATTAACTGTACTTTAGATTATTCCCAGGGCAAATGAATACATAGGGACATACATCCTATATAATAAAAGCCTCATATGTTAAGTGTCTGGTTGTCCATTCAACCAATCAAAGCACAATATGCTAAGGATATGATAAAGTCCCTCAACCATTCATTGTGACGTGCATTGACCACTAGGGGGCAGTCGAACAGACGCTATGAGGTGCACCAGGGGGAAGATGCTCTTAACATTAGATTAGCTTGCTGCTAGGATATGGCCAATTGGGACTGAGTGAGATGGGCAGGACATGCTCTGGAGTCCTCCCTAGATCCCTCCCTGGCTGGCTAACCTCCTGCATCTCTCCCTGGTGCACTGGTGGGCTCCCTTGGCATGACCTATGCCCTCTTACAATCCAGGCTAAGAGATCCTACCCTCCCCCACAAATGCATGAATTTCATGCAAGAGGCCCCTAGTATTTAATAAAACTGATCAGGAACAGATTAAGCACAGTGTTTTATTACCTGCTTTTTAAATTTTTTGAAATTATAAATCTAATCCATTTCAGGAGAAAAACATCCAAACAACAAAGTGGAAAATAAAGTAAAAAGTAGTTGTACCTCCAAATCCCTACTTTCAACTTCATAAGAACAACTTGTCCTAGAGGGTATTTTGCCATACCTGTTTTTCCTCAAAAGTTTTGATTATCATTATTATTACCATCATCATTTTAACATACACACATTGTTTAATTTTTTCTTCTAACAGGCCATATTAAAAATAAGATATAGCAACTTTCCATCTTGAAGTCAATAACTTAACAGGAAAATTCTTCCACTCAGTATATTGTTCCATAGCATTTTTTTTTAAACTGGCTGCTGAGGGGTGTGTGTGTGTGTGTGTGTGTGTGTGTGTGTGTGTGTTCCAAGCAGAAAAACAAAATCATTTTAAGTATTTAAAGTAACGGAATTTGAATACAAAGAATTAATTAGAGAGATGATGGAAAAGGTAAAAAGCCAAGTCTGAACAAAGGGACAATCCAGAGATTAATATCAATAGGAAGCTACTTGCATCCTTAAACTAAAGGGACAAAAGGAGGAGGTTGTGTGAGTTGAGCTTAGGGAAAGTTAAAACCACAATGAGCTTGTTTGGCAGGAGCAGAGAGGGAATGGAAAAAACTGTTGTGACTTCTCCCTACCAACCAATCTCCCCGCAGAACTTATTAGCCTAAAAAGTCAGAAGCCAGCTGAGAGAGGAGCTTAGGAAAATAAGTCTGAGAAGCCTATCCTTGGAAATACACAGTAAGAAAGGAGGAAGAGAAGAATGCATCTGAGAAAAAAGTCAACTAAAGACCTCACACCATCATAACTCACTTAACTACTTCTCCATTGTTGTGCAATCAAGTGTAGTCTTCCAGTTTTAGTTAATAAATATAATGCATCAATGAGCATCATAGTATAAATATCTTGTATTTTGTGCATATTTTCACACGAAATAGATTCCCAGCAGTAGAATTATGTGTTGAAGGATATGTAAAATCTATGCTTTGACAATTGCCAGATTCTCTTCCAAAATTGTCTTTAACTATTGCTAACACTGGCTACTATCAATCTCTTAAAAGTTTTAGCCAATTGATTGGCTCACAAAGTCATCTTGTTTTAATTTGCATTTCCCTAATGATTATGATAAACATTCCATTACATTTATTAGCCATTTGTTTTGCTTCGTGCATGATTTCTTTTTAAATATATCTTGATTTCATTTTATTGTCTTTCTGTATCTACATATATAAAAGTCTAAGCAACCATTATGACTGAACAAGCTAATGGCCAGTTGATCAGTCGCTATGATGCACACTGATCACCAGGGGACAGATATTCAATATAGGAGCTGCCCCCTGGTTGTCAGTGTGTTCCCACAGCCAACTTCCATGGCCGGCCAACCTCTTGCAGTCCCTCCAGCTAGCCAGCCCCAGATCAGCCCTGATAGGGACTGGACAAGATGGCCTCGATTGCCAGCCAGGCCGAGGGACTCCACATGCTCTGCACCAGGTCTCCAGTTATTTATAAGCTACTTGCATTCTATACTTAAGTATTTCTTTCATGCATGTGGCAAATGTTCTCTCATTCTTTATTTTCTTGTAATTGTATTACATAAATACTGTCGTATAGCAAGTGCAACTTTGTGGGTGTTATTGTCTTTTATTACTTCTGCTTTTGGGTCTTGCTTATGAATGTCTTCCTCACCATAATTCT